GGACAGCTGGGATCGTGGTCTTCCCCGTATTAACACGCTCTTCCAGAAGGATCGAAGCACTCTCAGCTTCGACAAGGGATTCCGACTCCGCGCTGAGTTCAAGCAATACCAGCTGATGAAGAGCAATCCGTTCTGGTGGACTAGCCAGCGACACGACGGTAAGCTCTGGAACCTCAATGCCTACCGCACTGATGTTATCCAAGCATTGGGTGGTGTCGAAACAATTCTCGAGCACACCTTGTTCAAGGCGACAGCTTTCCCATCCTGGGAAGGTCTGTTCTGGGAAAAAGCGTGTCTTGCCAAGGGAACTCGTCTCTTGCGATACGACGGGACCGAGATCAATGTCGAGGACGTGCGCGAAGGTGACCAACTTCTGGGCCCCGACAGAGAGCCTCGCCGTGCATTCAACATAGTGAATGGCATCGACCGCCTGTACCGCGTCAAAATCGGCGGTGAGAAAGAAGATCTCGTGGTGACGCCGAATCATATTCTAGTGCTCCATCGGGAGGGAGCCTCCAATGGTCCCAAAAAGCAAACCGTGGAGATCACTGCTGCCGAGTTCGCTGCCCTTCCTACTGAGGAAAGAAATATGTACAGTGCCTTTACATCTCCTAGGGTTGAGCAGAGCGCCGAATCTTCATCTCCTCAAATTCACAGTTTCAAGATCGAGCACATTAGCCTCGAATCTGAGAAGACAGAGTGGGCTGGTTTCCGAGTCGACAAAGATCAGCTTTACCTGCGCCATGACTACCTTGTTCTGCACAACAGTGGTTTCGAAGAAAGTATGAAATTCAAGAAGCTCACCAACGCTCAGCGGTCCGGTTTGAACCAGATTCCCAACCGTCGATTCACTCTCTGGTGGTCGCCGACTATCAACCGCGCCAACGTCTACGTCGGTTTCCAGGTGCAACTTGATTTGACTGGTATCTTCTTACACGGCAAAATTCCCACCCTGAAAATTTCGTTGATTCAGATTTTCCGTGCCCATCTGTGGCAGAAGATTCACGAATCGGTGGTCATGGATTTGTGTCAAGTCCTGGATCAGGAATTGGAACAGCTTGGCATCGAGGCCGTTCAAAAAGAGACTATTCACCCACGTAAATCTTACAAGATGAACAGCTCTTGTGCGGATATCTTGCTCTTCGCGACCAACAAGTGGAATGTCACCCGACCTTCGCTTGTGTTCGATACCAAGGACGTCTACGAGCCGACCACGACAAACAAGTTCTGGATCGACGTGCAGCTCAGATATGGTGACTACGATTCTCACGACATTGAACGTTACGTCCGTGCTAAGTACCTCGATTACACCACGGACAGCATGAGTATCTATCCTTCCGCCACTGGATTAATGATTGGTGTTGATCTTGCATACAACCTCTTCTCGGCTTACGGGCAGTACTTCCCAGGCCTGAAGACTCTGGTTCAGCAAGCTATGGCTAAAATCATGAAAGCTAACCCAGCTTTGTATGTCTTGCGTGAGCGTATCCGCAAGGGTCTCCAGCTGTATGCCTCGGAGAGCAGTCAGGAGTTCCTCAATTCTCAGAACTACTCCGAGCTCTTCAGTCCGCAGATTCAGCTCTTTATCGACGACACTAACGTCTATCGCGTCACGATCCATAAGACATTTGAGGGTAACTTGACGACAAAGCCCATTAACGGTGCAATCTTCATTTTCAACCCTCGAACTGGACAATTGTTCCTGAAGATTATCCACACCAGTGTCTGGGCAGGCCAAAAGCGTCTGGGTCAATTGGCCAAGTGGAAGACAGCCGAAGAAGTTGCAGCTCTCATTCGGTCTCTCCCCGTTGAAGAGCAACCGAAGCAGCTCATTGTCACCCGCAAGGGTCTTCTTGACCCTCTCGAGGTCCATCTGCTCGATTTCCCCAACATCTCTATTCGTGCCTCTGAGCTCCAGCTGCCCTTCCAGGCCGCCATGAAGGTTGAGAAACTAGCCGATATGATTCTCCGTGCCACTGAACCTCAGATGGTACTCTTCAACTTGTATGATGAGTGGCTCAAGTCTATCTCCCCGTACACTGCCTTTTCTCGACTCATTCTCATTCTTCGGGCTCTTCACGTCAATATCGACAAAGCCAAGATCATTCTTCGGCCCGATAAGACCGTTATCACTCAAGAACATCACATCTGGCCATCCCTGTCTGATGAGGACTGGATCAAGGTCGAAGTGCAATTGCGTGATCTGATCTTGAATGACTATGGCAAGAAGAACAATGTCAACGTGCAGAGCTTGACCAGTAGCGAAGTTCGTGATATTATCCTGGGTATGGAGATTAGTGCGCCTTCTCTGCAGCGACAGCAGGCAGCGGAGATCGAGAAGCAGCAAGAAGAGCAGAAGCAGCTCACTGCTGTGACTACCAAGACCCAGAACGCTCGTGGTGAGGACATTATCGTCACCACTACATCTCAGTACGAACAGCAATCATTTGCATCTAAGACAGAGTGGCGTACTCGTGCAATTGCGACCTCCAATCTCCGGACGAGGTCCAACAACATCTATGTCTCCTCTGATGACATCCGGGACGATGGCTACACCTACATCATGCCCAAGAACGTCCTCAAGCGATTCATCACCATCGCTGATCTCCGAGTGCAGGTCACGGGCTACATCTACGGTAGCTCCCCCCCAGACAATGACCAGGTCAAGGAGGTCCGCACCATTGTCATGATTCCACAAGTGGGTAACACCCGAGACGTCCAGCTGCCACACCAGTTGCCGCAGCACGACTATCTCCAAAATCTAGAGCCGCTCGGTATTATCCATACGGTTTCTGGCAATGAGCCGCCGTACATGTCTGCGGCAGATGTCACACATCACGCACGTCTCATGAACGCCCATCCTTCGTGGGATAAGAGGACCGTGACCATGACTGTTTCTTTTACTCCTGGATCCGTTTCACTTGCCGCCTGGGGTCTCACTCCGGCGGGCTACAAGTGGGGCGCAGAGAACAAGGACACAACCTCGGATCAGCCACAAGGCTTCTCCACCAACATGGGTGAGAAGTGTCAGCTGCTTCTCAGTGACAAGATCCGCGGCTATTTCCTTGTGCCCGAGGATAACGTCTGGAACTATAGCTTTATGGGCAGCTCTTTTGGTAGCGTGGAGAAGAGACCTATCTACGTCAAGATTGATACCCCTCTTAAGTTCTACGATGACCAACACCGTCCCCTGCACTTCCAGAACTTCGCCGAGCTCGAGGACATCTGGGTTGACCGGGCTGACAACTTTGCGTAAACATGCGCAGCTGATCAGGTGCAAAATCCTTTTTTCTTTTTCTAAGCGTCGTCTTTTTTCCCCTTTGGTTCCATTTCTTTTTGTTCATTTGTGTTCTTGTATCACGACAACCATAATTCATGTATTGCAGCGAAAACCTAGGAAAAAGGCCAGTGGATTTTTTTGTACAGTACGAGTTTTCTTTTGCGAATACATTTTCTGTTCACTTCAACCTTTATTTCTTTTTATTCCCTAGTAAGTCCCTCCTCCTCCCCTGTAAGTATACGAGGATGCAGTTGGCTTCGGAATGCGGCACTAGCTTACATCGCCACTTTCCCTATGAAGATTGCCGCGACGTATGTGATGGCCTAAGCAGGCGCCCAATAGAACTATGTAGTCTGTACAATTATTGAAATCAATATGTGCCTAAACCCTCCGCTTTGATACATCGGACCTTTCTGTTGACAGATGACAGCATGCAGCTAGCACAATTCGGCAGTCCTTCCGAATCACATCTCCGGATCTACCAGACAAATCCAACGGGGAAAGAAGGGCGCGAAAGAGAGTGTATCAGAGTCTGGCTGAAAAGTCGATGTGACCAATTTAACGATCATCTCCTCCACTAATCTCTTTTGCTGATTGTGATATTGTCTTTCTTCCCTTTCCAACGTTATAGAACTCTGCTGTCAAGTCCAAACGCCAATATTGTTTTCGGGTATCTGTTTCATCCCCCTGTCCTCTTTGTTCTGTTCTATTGGACATCTGTGATTGACTCCCGCAGGCCTCAGCTCCGAAGAAACCCGGTGCAATAGAATAGCTTGCCATCGCTTACTCGACTAGCCTATACCGTATCAATCGGCCGATGTGATTTGTCCGCATCTTTTCCAGGACGGCGTAGCTACGTGGAATATCGATCCGACGAATAAGCTGATGTCTGATTTGCTATGTCCCCGAGCGAAGTCTGACAGGCTTCACCTGTCTGCCGTGTCTTTTTCTTTTGTCACGGCTCTTGACTCTTGACCCTAGACTACCCTGGTCCCATATTTTGCGTTGGGTTTTGATCCCCATTAATAGGCGCTTTGCCAACAATAGTTTTGGGGAGGTTCTACCGCGTCGAAGGTTTTTTTTGAACCCCTCCTCTTGATGTTGGGCGTCTGTGCGAAACCCAAGAGAGAGAAACACTACCCCATGGCCGGAAAGATGGGATACAACTGCGTATCCCGAGAGAACTTGACTATGGTGATTTAGAGTCCTCTTGCAGTCCAGTCCACTGGAGACAGATGGAATCAGCCCGGCAGCGCACGCTCCAACTTGGTCACCGGCACACGGTTGGATTTCCCCCAGAGGACTCTCCAGGATGTTGTTATAGATAGGTCCTTCTCTTCGTTTTTCGTTCGCTCTTAATCTAAGAAAAAAATCTTTGTTGTTTTACCTAACTATACATTGTTTATGACCGATTCTTCTGCAAAACCTGCCTACAATTTGACCCAAAGTAATCCTATCCATCCTCTTCTGCATGTCAACGCGTTGAGGCCTTTCTCGTCTTTGTTGTGGTTATATACAGGCAAGTTTCTCTTGGCATCGTCCTCCTATGCAACAGCAGAGGCTTTTCTTTTCTTTGCCTTTCTAGTCGAAAGTGAGACTCGGGAATAAAAACGCCCTGGGATCGTTCATCTCCCAACTGCTACTCAAGGCACTTGCTGGGGCTGCAGGTCCTGGTGTTGTTTTTATGTCTACAGCACCAGCGGACCCTTACCGAGGCTTCATGGTTAACTACACTCCTCATGACAGTGGCAAAGATGCGAACGGGGAGGATATCGTTTCTTACGGCGCGGCGCAGTTGCTCCAAGATAGGCCCGATGGCATTCGCTACCACTCTGATACAACCCAGACGCCCTTTGGGTCTCCGTCGACTTTTATCACGAACCACTCGCCCGCACGCCAGCCGGTTTCACATTACAACACACATGGGTATAGACTCTCCCCAATTCAGGGTAGCAGAAAACGACAACGTACCGACAATGAGCCCGAGGCAAGAGAAGACAGTGATCAAAATTATGGTTACCGACCTGTCTTGCAAAATCTACCCATGGGTGATCCATCGGCTCCTGCAGGTGAATCGGCCGACCTGACGTACGCTGGTCATGCCGTTCCTTCATCTTCCCGCCAGACATCGAACCAGGACTACCTCCAGTCCTCTTTCCCGCAACAGCATCATCACCATAGGCTACCACCCCAAGCATCGGTGGCTACAGCCTCTGCTGGCCAGGGCTCTGAACAGCCGCCACTCGACCGCAGCTTCATGAACCTTCCAGGTTTGCCGGCACCATACCCTGAGCCAAAAGCGCCAAAGACCAGATTCGGTCACAGGGAAGATGAGATGTTGATAGCCCTGAAGGAGCACTGGAAGTTTTCCTGGAGGCAGATTGAATGCTTCTTTCCAGGGCGAAAACAGCAAACATTGCAAGTCCGTTACTGTACCAAATTGAAGGAAAGGGCTGTGGTTTGGGATGATGCTTTGGTATGTTTGCGCCCCACCCAACCAAAAGACCGGAATTGCGCTAAGTCCTAGGACAGGATCGGAAACTGAAAAAGGCGCTGGAGGACTATGAGGACAACAAATGGGCACTCATTTCCCGGAAGCTTGGACCTGGTATACCACCAGCGGCGTGTAAGCTGAGGGCCGAAGAGCTTGAGTGATGTTGGAGTGTATGTTTTGTTAGTTTAGAGGGACTTGTTTATTATACTGTGACTTGATAATGCGTGTTGGCGTAAGTGATTGTTTTCCAATATATCATGCCACCCCGTGCCCTACACAGAGAAGCCCTAGGTATTCCGAAACGGATATTCTGCCGCTCGTAGATTGACCTCGCAGGCCGCCGTAGAGAGCTCCTGCCAATCAGAAGGGCTGACTCATCATCAGTCGCGCTCCTATTGGATGTCCCGGCCAGCCAATCACAGGCGGTCGGACCAAAGCGGCTTCAAACTCGCCCAACCTCAAACCTCCAAACTCCCTCTCCTGCCCCAAACGCCCCGCGTCATTCACACCATTACCTCCAGGACAATGTTCCTCCAACGTACAGCCTCCGCCCTCGCCAGGCGCTCGCCTGCCCGCGCTTTTACCCTCGCCCAGCGGCCCTTCTCTTCCTCTGTCATTCGCTGTACGTGACTCCTCAGATGGCCTGATCCGACTTTCGCACAACTGCTCCAATCCCGCGCACCCCGACCACAAGGGGCGATGCTCAGTCAATTGGTCTGAATCTTCTATTATGACCACCAGCTAACGTGAAACTTTAATAGCCAGCGACAAGAAGTGGGCTCCCAAGCAGGAGGGCAAGATCTTGACCTTCGATGGTTAGTGCTTTACCCGACCCCATGCCAGTCAATTACTTTTCTTCCGGCCTGTGCGGCTCGACAAGGATCCATATAGTCACGCACTCGAGAATATGCGTGCAATTGGACGCTATACAACTTCGGGTGCTGGTCATGCGGATACTTTTCCCGAGCCACGGGCCAGGCTTGTCATTCTACCTCGAGTGGATAACTACAAAAAATCTCCAAAAACCACAATGCTGACCTATCTTCTCGATATATAGAGATCAAGACCGAGGATGACCTCTTTGCCCCGGGTGCCAAGCCCGGTACCATTCCCACCGATCTCGAGCAGGCCACCGGTCTTGAGCGTCTGGAACTCATCGGAAAGATGCAGGGAATTGACATCTTCGACATGCGTCCCCTTGATGCCTCCCGCAAGGGTATGACTCCTTAATATCTCAAGTTTCCATCGCAATTCCCGAATGAATGATCAAATACCGGGGGAATTGCGTGATCATTACTTCGGGGCGAAGACCGAGACATTGGCTAACAAAATGCGTCGATTTATTCAGGTACAATCGAAGACCCCATCATCGTCAACAGCGCCGGTGATGAGCAGTACGCCGGTTGCACCGGTTACCCTGTAGACTCCCACCAGGTCAACTGGCTGACTGTATGACCGCCCTATCCAAGCCCAACCGGGCTAATATTTCCAGCTCTAGAGACTGACTATGCGTCTTTTAGGTCTCTCGCGATCGTCCCATCGAGCGCTGCCGCGAGTGCGGTAACGTGGTCAAGATGAACTACGTCGGACCCGAGGAGGACCCCCACTCCCGTATGTTTCCTGCTCTCTTTTTTGCTTATAGTATATGATAATCTGTTGGTTGTGCTAACATTATCACCCTCAGACGACGACCACGGTCACCACCACCACCCCGCTCACGTCGAGCCCAAGACCTTCGCCGACTACGTCAAGCCTGACTACTGGTACCGGTAAATCTTCAGTGCCGATTTTCTTTGGATGTTGCTTGGAAATCCCAATACAGTGTGAACATTATGCTGCGTGTCTGTCTTTGTTCTGTCTCCGTGACTCCTACGTCTCTTTTGTACTATAGTGCTTTAGTAGATGGAATGTGAGTGTTGGTGAGGTTTTTACTTTTGACCTATATCTATTTGGGTTCGTAGTTACTATGATATGGGATATCACCGGTCGTGCTGTTAGTAGGACTTCTTCGATACCGGTGTAGATGAAAAGAGAGAAAAAAAATGTATTTTTGAGTCTATCCATATATCACTTTTGATCCAATGTACATGTATGTATCTAGAAAAATGCGGTGGTATATGCGAAGCCTCAACAGGGAGGTAAATATGCAATGCTCGTCCACTCATATGCTTAGACATGACATCATTCATATACCATCAGCCAATGTTCAGCGACCCACGAAACGAAGTTCGATGAATCTGAGAGGAGGGTAAACAAGCGCAGTCCAACAGAACCCGACGTAAATTCCCATCTAGAGAGTAATTAGTTAGGAACAAATACACACATGATGGGAGATGGGATTTAACTCACATCAGCACCGTATTCGCCGACCAATTTGGCAATGGGTCCAATGTACCACAGCTGCGCCATACACAATACGGCGCCCACCCAGCCAACGATAAAGGCAGTGAAAGCCGCAATGCCAATGGGTAGCTTTGACGGATCCCGCCAGATGCCCCAGTTGTACCCAGTACGGAGGCGGAAGATGAACCGTTCCTCGAGGACAATAGCAATCCAAATGACAACCCAGTAGCCCATCAAAGCGAGGAAATTGGTGAAGATCTCAGAGAGGTTGCTGCGGCCAACGAGCGCGCAGACAGTATAGATAATGACGGCAATGGTATTCCAGATGACGCGCGGTACGGCCTCGGCGTAGCGACCGAGGATCTGGAAGTCGATGCCGGCGGAGTAAGTGGGCGCGACGGTATTAGCGATCAGGCCTAGGGCGCAGATAACCGAGCAGAATTTGCCGAAGCCGTGCAGCGGGCCGAATCCTTCGACGATTAGTGCTCCTTGGCCTTTCTCATAGGCGGCGGAATACTCTGGGAACGTGGGTATGCCTGAGGCTAACCCGACGCCGCAGACTAGGGCCATCGTGAAGGAGACAAGAAGGCCTGCCAGGCATAGACTGAATATCTTCAGCCGAGAGGTGTTTTCGGGGTAGTAGACGAAGAAGTCGGCTGCTAGTGGGGCATAGGTGATTGCGGCACTCAGACAGATGGAGAAGAAGGATAGCCTAGGACCATGTTAGAAAACCGGGCTTCGATTCTTAGTTGTAAGAAGCAGACTCACCTATTGCCAGCTACTGTCCGGGAATCGCCAATAGAGGTGGTTGACAAGTCAAACTTCACGGATGACACCCCGAAAAGGATGCAAACCACAATTACTTGGGGCAAAAATGCGAATCTAATGAGGCCCGTCAGTGACATTGTTCCTCATGGCAATAATCTCTCAAGACTAACCGTTCATAGTAGTGAAAAACTTGGATGCCGAATGTGGCAACAGCCCAGCTGATAACCGCAATGATCACGATGCCTATAATATCAAGATTAGTATCACTATTGATGTATGAAGTTTTCGGAATACCCACCGACAGCCACGGACATGCCACCAGGGGAGACAGCAGACAATATTTGTCCGCCAACGACGCAATCAATCAAGCCGTATCCAATCATCTGAATAAGGTTCAATAGAACAATGATCTTGCTAGGCCACCAGCCCATCGAATACCTTCCGAATGCCTAGTCACCGATTAGCCCTCTCGATCAAATAATAGTCCAACGGATTCAATATGTGCTACGCACCAATGTTCGGATCCCGGAAACGGGCCCCCATGTGGCCATCCAAGACGAGACGATGGAACCAACTAGAGAGCCAAAGACAGCACAAAGTGCCGAGTCTAGGAAGTTGAGACCATAGACTGCAGGCCCTAACATCCCGAGGGTGATGTTATTGGGTGCAAGGTTAATGGAGATCCAAAGCAAGAAGATTTGCAGATACGACATCCACGTGTTGCGCTTCATGCGCTCATCCACGGCAACTCGTTCGATACCACGCGCTTCTAAATTATACTCGACGAGCTGGTTCTCAAAAGCTCTAATAATGGAGCCCAATCGTGATCCAACGGGATTGCGGCGATTGGTCGTCGTCTCGGGGTAAAGTGCCTCATCGTTGTTGACCACGCCGGGACTTTCAGGCGCGAATTTCGTCAGGTCTTCCTTGTTGGAGTGCACCGCTAAGGTGGTGATTTCATTTCCTGAAGCCATGCTGCGATTCTGTTAGTATCACACCTATTTCCTGAAGAGAGGAAAAGCGCATTGAGTCCTTTCGCTGGAATTACCCAGATCAAGTTTAACCGTATATTCTCAGAACGACGATAGTCGAACACCGGTCTTCATGCAGGATGCTTGTCCTAGATACCTTGATCGTGAGAGATTGCCACACTACTCGTCTTCATGATAGCCGTCCTTTGTGGCACAGGTTGTGTTACCTTCCGAGAGAAGAGGCACTATGACCAACGTCAGCGGACTTGATCAGGCAATCACACAGGCATATTTCACCTTTGAAAGCAGAGGATATTCAAATCCAAAACAAAGTGAGCAGCAGGTAATAGCAGGTAATCAATTGATATGACAAGCACCCGATTTCCAGGGGGGGCAAAATGGAGAAAGATTTGATTGCCGCGGGGAAAGAAATGAGATAGCCCGCTTTGGCTTTTTCCGCCACCACCTTACCTGACATACTACATCCATAGTTATTGTACTAGTTACAACACACAAGCCATTGGGTTTCTGATTTCTGCTTCTGCAATTTCCTCGGACTGGGACCAGTGGGAATCATATGGTATTGATGGACACAAAGCGCAAAAAAAAAGCAGCGCTGTCAAAACCAAAGCAGACAACGCCTGGGAGGGGGAAGGGAAACATGACGGATCGCAAAACAAAATGCGCAGGTGTTCATATAGCGCATATAAAAGAAATTCGAGAATAATATTGAAAAATATTCCAGATCACCAACTCCATCTGCCTTGTAAAATCAGTGGCCTCCAGCGGCCACCGATGAAACTTGCATCGCTCTGGAATTGCAGGGAATCCGGAGGAGAGAATGCCAAATTCATAAAAGATGCTAAGAAAAACAATATCATCACTTCGTCAGAGGCATCGTGGTAGTCAGACGTTCTTGAAATGCTCTTTGGCATACTGTTCGCAAGCCTGTCGGAGAATATCGAGATTAGATGCGATGCACAATGACATGCAGGAGATTCCGGTGCTTACTTTGGCAGGCTTGCCCACTTTCTGGCCGATCACCTTCCACTTGTTCGCCTCGTACTCCTTGATCGCCTCCCGAAGCTTCACAGACTGTGCGACGTCAGGAACGGATGCGACAACGGACATTAAAAGGACTCGGGATCATACCTCATCTTCGGCAAATTCCGCGTAGTGCATGTCCTGCGCAAGGTGTCAGTAAGACGAGACGTGGTATTACCCAAATCGCTTAATATTGCGTACCTTATACCAATGCTTCTTGACACTGCCCTCGGTTCGGGTCGGGAAAGTCTGCGACGGGTAAGAAAAAAAAGGCCCAGGTCAGCAACCCATAGTTTCAGCCTATAAAAAGCCGCGCGCGCACCTTGGCAATTTCACTCCAACTGCGCCCGGCGTCGCGCATTGTCTTCAGCCTTTGCTCCTCCTCTGCGGTCCATGGGGTATTGGTGCGTCCCTTCTTCTTAGGCGTAGACTCAACCGTGGGAATGGCACCGGAGTCATCAATCACACCACCCGAAGGGTTCCCTTGGCCTGTCATCATGGCTGACGATCCCGTGGGAGAAGGAGGACGTTTGCGCGAAGCGCCGGGGTTTTGTTGGGATAGAGAAGCAGTCGGAATCGGGATGCCTTCAAAGGTTGGGACGCGGTGGAATGGATGGATCTGTTGTTGCGAAAGCATATGCGGGGGGGCGCTGGTTGTTGACGTCTTGAGGCGTTTAGATGTCGGGGGGGAACTAATCGGGCAACAAGTTAATGAATAGTAGAAACATAAGATGAGGTAAGGCAATATAATAAGAACGCGACCAAGTGCACTTGAGTTCCAACCCAGTCTCCCTCCTACAGCTGGAGGCCGGACGGAGATCACAGACGAAGGGACTTACGACATGGTGAAAGACACACGCGGTTTTCAATCACCCTGTGCCGATTCATCTGTACATACAAAAAAGGCCGCGTAGAGGGAGGGGTGGTTAGCAGGATCTGGTACTGGCGCGCCTTGGTCAACTCGGAAGCGTTACACTAGAGACGATGACACAGGCGCATCCCAGGCAGAACCAGATTGACAAAGGTAACAGGGACAATATGAATAAGTCGCGACACGGATAAGTCCAGACTCCGACCGGAGTGATTTAACTCCTATGTGGGTTGGCAGTCAAAGGGAAGGGCTCACAGGTCAAAATCGCATGGTCGAAGCGTCGATTCGGGGACCTCGAATTCTTCCGAATATGGGGAGAACATGAGGCTGGGTGATGGGGTTGACTTTGAAGGGAAGGCAAGGTTAAGGATAGGAACCAGGAAAAAAAGTAGAGACTTTAAAAACACCAGGAAGGGAGAACGAGATAGAGTGCAAGAGAGTGCGAAAGAGAGAGACAAGGTTACAGAGAAGAGAAAGGAGGAAGAGGAGAAGTTGTTGTGAGGAAAGGCAGAGCGGGGATGGAGTCACCTCATATCACAACAACCAAAGTAATAATAGCACTGAAGATATCATTCGAGACGGTTGATACACTTGATAGAGTCGATATGGATTCTATAGATTATCTAGCTCGTCTATTTTATATGGATTCTCGAGTTTCTATTGCTTCGAGGCGTTAAATGCGTCGAATGTTTTGGTTTCTTTCATCTTATAACCAGGCCCTCTAACTATTTCCCTACTATGTGACCCCTCTATTATTCTCTATACCTCCGTCTTTCTTAGAATACCCCCTTTATATTCATCTTTTACTCCCCCAATATCTAACGTAGATTATTCATGTCAAATTAAAATTCAGTGCTGATTCAAATGCGCCTCCAACCACTCCCCCTCCGGTGCATTCCACAACCCGTTCTTCTCTGGCCTAGGAACCGATGCGCGGACAGGGGCCCTGTCGCAATTTATGCCTCGTCCTGTGATCCAATTCGACCGACATCAAGATGCAGAAGCAAAGATAACTACGTCCGGCAACTTCCATGAGACATTTGGGCCGAAGAAACCCGCGAGTGGCCTGTTCTAGAATCCGGTGACCCGGCGAGATCTCACAACACCGTGCGAGGATGACAGGACACGCCCAATGCGAGTCAACGATGCGCCCGAGGGCCTAATTATTGCAAAGGCATCCAGTGGCCCCGGGAATCATCCCGCAATCATCATCGTTCAATTGACAGAAGTAGAAGTCTCCGTCCAACCCGAGACTTGGCGGGCTAGATCAGCCACAGGACGGTTTCGTGTGAAGCCACCGGGGCACTTCCCCTCTCTGCCCCCCGTGCCATTCGTTGATGATAGAATATGCGGTATGGGGTAGAGAGTCTGGAGGACCCTATCAGCATTTATCTTTTGTTTTAGCACGGGGTTCATCAAAGGCCTGTATATATTCAAGAAGCCCAGCCTCTTAGAATCCAGCTGGCATTTCCTTTTTGTCACACACACAGTTCATCCCCTTGTTAGTCTCCAATTGGTGGCAATTGACAAGATTGCTAGTGTTCATTCAAGCCGACTAGGACTACAGAATTTCCTGGCATTGTTTGACTCGGAGATATCAAATGGTAATGATCGAATATATCCGGTTAGGTTTGAAGATGATGCATGCAAAGGATCAGGTGTGCTTAATGTTTCCTGGTGCGGTATATCAATGCAACAAGATACTGCCAAGAGTCGCTGGGGTTAAATATGACTTGCATCACCCCGTTTTAATCAATAGAAAAGGCCGCCTTATCGAATCTAGGAATATCAAGCCCCTAGATCAACACAACGAAAAAAGATACATATTCTATGCGTTTCAACGGATGGCTCCAATATTCGTGAATATAGGCTAAAACAACAAAGGCTTCTATCAATATGACCAATTCCTTGCTCATTCACCCGGCCGACTGTTTCGACCGTTCTGCGATGATGTAGGATCCTTCCGGTCAGGCCAAGCCTCATTCAAAATCAGTAATCATTACTTCTGGGAATATTGGCAAGGCTAATCATGACTATTGGGTAGGTATTCACGTTACAGCGATTATATCTGCTTTGGGAATCCCACCGCGTCACCTGCATCACCTAGGGCATCTAGGCCTTCTCGAATCCACTACGGTCATAAGCGCAAATAAATAGATCTTGGTCTTGACTAGAATGTCGGATTATCGGTATCACTCTAGAAGCTTAAGAAGAACCTCGAATCAAGGTTTGATAACTCAAAAATTTATCTCCTAAGCTTATATATTTGCTCCTAAACATCCCCGCATCTTTCCTTGTTCCAGTTCATCTCCTCAAAAGTGTTTGAGAACCCCTGGACTATGGCTTGCTAAGAGCATGATCAATCACAGTATGTTTGGCCCTTCAATTCGATTGTCAAATTGTTTACTCCGTATGTTTCATATACTAACTTCACATGTTGTCAGTACCCCAAATATGTACATCGAGATCGCAATGTTGAACAGCACATGTCAACCATAACTGGAGGCTAGGCAACCAGGTAGAAACCCCGAGAATGCCAACTCTTCCTTTGTCTCATAAATCAATTCACCATATTTCTCGCCGTCTAACTAGTTGACCAGCTACTCGCGATTTACGTGCTGACGTCAACCTCACGTGAGAGGACACGCGGCCCGAGCTCATGTGGATTGCGGATAACGAACTCCCCCAGTCACTCTAACAGCGCCATATACCTTCACTCATTGTATCTTCCTGGACGTTAATCCCATTTTAGGGAACGTATATACGCAGAAAACAAGTACTTTATTGCCCAATCTACTCGAGATTTCTTTTTTATCCCATTCCTCCAGATACCTGGCGCCGACCTCAATGGTGATAGCTTGACAAGTGTCCACACCTCCAACTCATTGTTTGATTGTCCGATCACAACTCTCCAGCCATGGTGACCTGGAATGTCTTTCGGATTATTGCAGATTTGTCCCATGCAGGCTCAATATTTATCCTGCTCTGGGCTATTCACAGGAATAAGAGCGCCGAGGGTTCGTATACCTTTGTATAAACCGATTACCTAGGTACCATGCAGAGCTTACTGACCAATTCGATTTAGGCATCTCACTCCTCACGCAGTTGCTTTACGGCCTCGTCTTCATATTTCGCTATCTTGATCTACTTTTTCCATCCACATACACGGGAGGCACGTGGCACAGCATCTGGAATGTCTGCTTCAAGCTCTTTTACCTCATCTCGTCCTCATACCTGGTCTTCCTGATGATGAAGGTGTACCCACGGACAAGAGAAAGGGAGCGAGCTTGGAAGCTCGCTTTGTGGTCTGTGGTAGGGTCCCTTGTTTTGGCCCCTATCTCCATCTGGCTCTTCGACAGGTCCGACAGCAACTCTTCTGGTTACTGGTTTCTTGAGGTAAGTTGAACAAGCCGGAAGTGTTCATATGGTACAGCTTAACTGATCCAATCACTTAGTTTTGCTGGGCTTTCTCTATCATTCTGGAGTCTGTGTGTGTTTTGCCGCAGCTCCTTCTCCTTCGCCAGACCACTGTCCCGACGGTGATCGACTCGTACTACCTGCTTGCTCTGGGCTCCTACCGAGCATTCTACATCCTAAATTGGATCGTCCGCCTTTCCAATAAGGAGCCCTTTTATGATTGGATCGCGGTCGTATTTAGCATTGTACAGACTGCCTTTTATGTCGACTTTGCGTGGGTGTACTATTCGCGCCAGCGAGTCAAGCTTCGCAATGGCGGTGTCATCGACTCCGAGGACTATGGGAACAGTTGGCTGGTGAATCGTGTACTGAATTTCCGGGCCTCGCGAGCCTCTACAGACGAAGAACAGCACCTTCAAGACGAGGAGGAAGGGGCGGATGGTCAATCTAACCACAACCGGTGGGGTGCTCGTGGTATTTCCATCGCAGCTGACGACACTCTGGAAAGCACTAGTCACAATAAGGCACATCGTGACAGTTTAGATGGGTTTTCGGGAGACGAGGACGAAACTGATGACCACCGAGTGAACAGTTCTCGCTGATTGATGATATTCTACGGCAAATTCGGTCACAGCATGGCATATCTACATGTCAGTCAGGTTGGTCATTAGATGTTGCGCAGGGTGGGCTCTAAACGTGTTGACTGCACAGGAAGACCCGCTCCTACCGTTCTAGTCTGGTTATATCCGGGATTTCATACCCACCGTTTGATTATCGGGCCTTTTTTTATGGTAGAATCAGGAAATGAGAAAATCTACGGAGCAACGGAATGTTCCGCATTCTGGCCCCAAGTCCATGGGGACCTTTTTTGCTCAGGCTACACCGTTTCACGCTGCTACCCGGGGATCATTTGATGTCTGATGTGACTAGTAGTCCGCTATGGATTGAATCTCCTTTATTCTCCAACTACGCTGTAGTCAGTAGATATTTACTGTCTCGATTCGCTCCAATACACGGGAACCGGCCGCTACACCGGTAGTCACGTACCGGGGTTAACCCTGCCGAGAATATTACTGGGATATCGTGCGTATTCCAGCACCCAAAGGAGCATTGGGCCGCAACAAAGTACATATGCATGCACCCTGAAAGATAGCTATCACATACGATGATATCGTAGGAACATCAAAAGTCCCCCCAAAGGGCGCAAATGAGAATAGACCCCAGAGCTGACTTGGGGGCCAAATGCACTTCCCTTGCAAAACGAACCAGAAGAAACATCCCAGTCCTCCAAAGTTGGTTTGTCACTGTCCAAGATTGGTGGGAATCCATCAACTCCCAAGATGCAATGTGATAAGAAGATAGATCCAAAAGAAATGAGCGTATTATTCGAGGTCTAGAAACGCCTGGCTTTTTCTCGGGCGGTTAGCAGCAGGACGTGGCTTGGAGAGCTGACTCCGGAATCAAACGATCACCGCAGATGTGGAGATTGGAGATTGAGAAAAAGCAAATAAAATAAAATAAATCAATAGCATCATAATGAAAGTTCCAGGTTGTCATGCATTCTCGCAATGAGCCGGGTGTCTGCATGAGCGCTTAAGCCGTGGTCGTGGATTCCCCGTGGACCGAGTCACCAAGCGGCTCGTGGGGTTCCATCAGCCTCAGAAGGACTTCGGGTCATCCGTGGCCAGTCGCGAACCGCCGGTCATTGAACAACGCCTCTGCATGGGAAATGGAGAATGCATGGAGATTTTATGGAGAATGTACTTTGTAAAGGGATCGTGATCCCTCCATCTTCCCAATAACCGGTGTGTTGGAATCTAGTAGCGTCTAGATGAGGGGGGTTTTTTTTGCTTCTTCCTTTCTTCCCGTGGGGCCTGCCAGATTAAACAATATTAGAGTAGATGACATGACCTGTGTCGAACATCCTTATGAAGAGGAGCAGTTGCGCATTCATGTCTAACTAGAACTAATTGCAAGATCCGGCCATGTTACAATACGCTATGATATGCTATGGTATGCTACAACATCCTACAATATGCTACAAGATAATATAACATACAACTATTATATTATAATGCTGACTCTATGGTCATTATAGTTTTTGATGGGTCCAAAATTCATGCACTGGACCTCTCCAGATCTCTAAGCGCTACGCTTTGGCTCCTTGGAAGATCATCCACAACCCTAAGCAACACGTTTTTTTGTTTTTTTTTCTTGCCTGCTTTTTGGCTTTTTTGCATCTTCCTTCTGGCCCGTTGCAGTGGGCCTGGGCTCATAGAGTCACCTTAATCCCTATTCGCAATGCAGAGTCTGATCCCCGGGATGGATATCAGCATTGAACTAATGAGCCCGCAGCGCTAAGACATAGGCTCTCGTCGAGTTTTCATGAGTTTCCCACGTTCTAATGCAGCTCAGGGCTCACCGGCGGTAGCGATCTCTGTTTTGGTGCGCTCTGAGCCTATGATTAATTCCGCGACTCATTGTTCACATCTTACCTCACGAGGCATCCCGGTGCTGGCTGTGATATCTCCCCAAAGTGGAGGTATGGGCGGAATTGTGCATCTTCTTTGCTTTTCAATCTTCCCCTCTTTTCTTGCTCGCATGAATCTTATAAGATCAACTGCTTTCGGTGGTTGGGAAGTTGGATTTTCTCTTCATCATTCAGAGCGAAAGGCCTCGTTGATATACACCAACAATCCCAAAGCTTCAACCATAGTCTGTCAGCCACCTGCAGTCCCACATATTCCCCTGCCTCGAGTTTCATACTTCGTTTCACATTCTGCTGCTTCGGCGTTTATTCTCCCCACTCAGACAACGTTGTCGACCGTGAATCACCCCGTGGTTTATATTCCACTTTTCCACCTGAGTCATGTCGAACCGCTCGGATATCCCCTTCGTTGAACAAATGGGAGAGTACTACGAAGGAATGCCAGCCGATTGGCCTATGATGCCAGCGGTATGTACCTATGCACCTCTAAGACAGGACATTGTATGCTTCTGCGACATGAGCTAACCCCGTTTACGATCTAGACCCCGTACGTGGGATGCTACAGCCCTGACTTCGCCGAGCCCCTAGCCGAACCCGGCATGCTGATGCCACTGGGTGTTCTGGGGAGCTCGTTCCACCCCGGCCCAGAATTCGGTTACCACTCTCAGGGCTACTACGCAGATGCGCACCAGCACATCATCAACGACCCCCTCTCTGCCACAGTGGGTCTTGGTATCTCTGCGCCCTTCCCAGATAATTTCCCCCGGTCTTTAGCCCCCAGTCCCGACGTGTACGCTCCGGGCCCAAGTGGTGTCCAGCATGGTGTGACAGAGGCGCCTAGCCAGTCGCCACAGGGCTCCCCACAGGGCTCCCCAGCCAAGCGTGCCAGACATCAATCCTCGGACACGTCCTCGAGCGAGCAGCCGAGCAATGCCCCAATCAACATTGCTCCTAATCCAGAGGGTGTTCGCCGAATGGAGCAAGACCGCCAGAATGTCCAGCCCTCTTCCCACGTACTCCCTAAGCCCCGGGCTCCAGGCCGTGGACGGCGCGACCCCCGAGCAGAGTATGAAGACGCATTTGTCGAAGATCTGCGAGACAAAAAGAAGGCCTGGAAGGTCGTGCGTCTGGAATTCGAGGAGAAGTTCCAGAAAGAAGCCTCCGAGTCACGCCTGCAGATGCGTCTTCATCGCCGCTACCGCGAGCGAAAGGTGCGCTGGGCGACTTCCGATGTGAGTGCGTAACCCCTCGCAACACATGGTTTAAGCAATATGTGTGGGCTGGAATGTACATGTGTTGGACAACCCGTGCTGATACGCAAGTCTACTAGATCGAACTTTTGCTCGACGCCCATAGGAACTGGGCAAATGACAAATTTCAGTATCTTTCAGACAAGGTGAGATTTCCCATGTCCATGTTCTATAGAGAGTTCTAACATGTCTTTTCTTCTTCTTTAGATGAAAGAGCTTGGTGGTACTAGGTGGTATTCAGCTGATCAGTGCAGAAATCAACTTCGACTTATAGAGGCGAAAGAACAGCATGATCGCGGGAGTGAATCGCCCTCTGTTATGTCTGAACCTACTCCTGTGACACCCGCACCTGTGGCACCTGCACCTACTGTGTCTCGGAAACGACGTCGGGCTTCAGACTCTTAGCTTCGAGAGCCGTTCGTTGTTTTTTATTTCATTTTTCCCTTATTTCATTTCTTTCTCTTCTTCACATTCTTTCCAGCTTGACTTTTTTCTTTTCTCTTTCAGCCGCCTCTTTCTTTATTTCCTTTTCATTCTAGGATCAATCTGATCGACTCTTCACCCCGATTCTTGCCCCCACTGTCGTTATGATTAAGTTAGCCTTGGATTTGATAGGACCATAGGATACGCAGAGCTGGGAGACATTGGTTTCTATCACAACATTCTTTATATATTTTATTTTTATATTTTATCTCAGATCTCATTATCATCGCTATCACGTTCTTCGTACATTTACTCTCAAGTTCAACGTAGGATGTAGCTCTAGTCTGGCCAATTTTTCGACCCGCTAGCATTTATAACGCCGTAGATGAGGACTACAGAGATGATACTCGTAGTCATGGAAGTTTGAATTAGCCATCGAATTCCCAAAGCTCCTCTGATGGGTGATATCTTAGTTTGTTTTACAATTTGGAATATCTCCCACGAAGAAATAATGTGTATGAATAAGAGTGGAGCTGAGAAGGATAGCCTGATGAAAGTTTTATTGCACTGTCAAGTACTAAACCCTTACTATTGGGCCATGAGCGTCTAAGTGGGAAATAGTTCCACTTACTCTTAGACAGTATAATCATTAAGAAGAACCAACAGCACAAAGACAAAGAGCATTTTTAGAAGGCTAAGACAATTTCTAGGACAATAAGGAAGCATCCCACGTGCAAAATAGCTAAGAGTATACAACAATGGCTCTGTCAATACTCTGATTGGGAATCTCTAGGCATAACAAAGCAAACATGGTGAGACATCAGTCCAATTGGTTGTTATACGCTCTGTTGAGACAGCGAAGCCATCTGAAAAAAAGGGATCTTACCAGAGACAAAGGCTTTGTGATCAGAATGAGATCAGAATCGGATCTTTTCTCTGGATAGAAGGAAAAGAAAAAGGCAAGAAAAGTGAATCCTACCTGAAACTAGCCTGAAAAATGAAAGGCAAGTCCTCCAAGATCTCAAACCCAGACTAAAAACTGTTTCTTCGGTGCTTTGCATAAGAAGACGGGATGAGAACCCATTTAACCATCATTTCCAAGAACAGCACCATCCAGCCTCATCATGGATACCCCAGACTTTACAATGCCGGACGACGAGCCCATCAACGACGATCCTAGCGAGAATGGCCCGAAGCCCAAGAAGACTCGCCGCAGCCGCTATGACCCAGAGCCCGACTGGTCGGCCATGGTGCGTTCCAAGGTCACGAAGTCCCAACATCGTGTTGGTCAGGCCTGTGATCGTTGCAAGGTATGTCTATCTATCATATTCCGATACCTCGTTTGCTTTGACTCAGAGCACCATGCTGACGCGTTTGAATCGATATGTAGCTCAAGAAGATGAAGTGCACGCCCGATCTTAGAGGCTGCGGTTGTTGCCTTATCCTCAACATCCCATGCAAAGTCACTGACCGTGTCACCGGTGAGACCTGGGTGCGTGGCGAGGCTGGGCGGATGTGCGCTCTTATCGAGAACCTCCGGAAGCAGAATATGGATCTAAAGGAGCAGATCGCACAGCTTCAGCAGAAGAATTCACAGCTGCAGAACTGTCTGGACGGCTCCTACAGAGCCAATCTCATGGACCACTACGAGGTATGTATTTATTCATATCTGCTAGGATCCACATCTTTGTGAGATATCCACGGTTTGATGCTAACTCAGTTACCAGCCAAACCTTGATCCCAGAAATCATCACCACAGTCTACTGTGACTGTGATGCCCTTTTTTCCATGATTTATCATACCTCGTGGGCTTAGTTCCGTGTTTCCTATTTGTATCGGTCCTGCTCTGGCCGAGATGGAGTGTATAATCGAGAAGATTGGGGTGGCACATGGTGACAAGATTTGTGTTTTTTCGGGGTACATAAATGAAAGGAGAGTTCTCTTACAGTAGATGAGATAATCAAATACTTTCGTCTCATTTCCAAAATGATAGTCAATGGATATATGTGTAGTGTGACCATGTAAGCCCAAATTGTGCACTGGGTATCCATAATAGAAATGCAATGCAAATAACCATCGGCCTTTTTATCAACTGGCATTATTTTTCCAGCAACAACAGATCCCTTTGCTTTCACACCACTCCCTCACAGACGCAGTGCCAACCTCGCGATCCTCACCCACAAGTCCAAGTCCCTCGATGTTGAGCCATGCTGTAAAATCTTCCAGAACAATAGGGTCGTACATGAGTATCTTCTCATGCCACGTCGGTCGATTACGGCTACCACGAGATGATGATAGCGGCGAGAGCCGAGGTTGAACGCGAACAGCTTGGGTGATCTGTGCAGATATTTCTACCAAGCTGATTTCTGTTGAGTCTGCTGTGTAGGTGGTTGCGATGGGTGCAGAGGATGATGGTCTTTTGACTATATTGGAGGAAACGACCTTGCGCTTGGTCGGGCTCGGTGGTGGTGTTTTTGTGAAGATATCCAAGGAGTGGTGTTGTACCCGGCTGTCGGCCTTGGACTTTGAATAGATATCGGTGTAGTGCTTTTGTACTTGACTTGGAGAGGGAGTGATTTCTTCTTCTGAGTCTTGAATCTCTTCTACATCAATAAATGACGTAGAAGTCCCAGTGATAGGCTTCCCTCTCGGGTTTTTCTTTGGGCTTGTCTGGGAATAGGTTTGTAAGGCGGGTGTTGATTTTATCGCGTCAAGTGATTTTCGGTTCTTTATAAATGTTCCAGATTTAGACTTCACCGTCCCCTTCGAGGTGGGTTTCGGAACACTGTCCATTTTAGAGGCAGGTTCTTGTTGTTGTTCGGGTTGGTAAATAGGCTGGCTGCCAGGGGTAGCATTGCTACCATGTTTCGATTCCCAACATTGTTGAAGGAGATCGATCATCTTCTTGCGGCCTCTGACTGCCTTGAAGCCATAATTAGAGATCTGTTTAGACAACTCTGCATCCGTGAACCCGGTATATTGTGGCATCGAGGGCGCCTGCGAGCTAGTTGGCTGGGAACCGACGACTTCAGTCGGAGTATCATTGGCTCTACTTGCAGGTTTTGTAGCATTCGCCTTGGCCTTCGCCGTAGTCGTAGCCATAGCTGTAGCTGTAGCTGCCAGGATCGGAGCCTGAGCTTGAACTTGTGTGTCAGAATCCAAGCCCCTTTTGGTCAAGGGTGGTGATGATGGTCTCTTTTCTGGGGGTGAATCTATGTCTGCAAATTCAAGCTCGAACCAGTTCCTTTGAAGAGGTTTGTGGCTTGCTTGTTCCACACCCTCCTTTGCAGGAGGTTCATCCGTCAGGTCAACCACGTTTAGTGTTTCTGGTTGAATCAAAGATCCTTCGGTGTCTCTGGCGCCAACACACCATAGATTCCTGGTGCCTGCCAACCTTGATACAAAACGAGTAGACGACTCTTGGATCACGCTGGGGTCCTTATTGCGCGTCCCTTCTAGATATGAAAGACTTTCGGATGCATGGATGGCTTGCTGAGTCTCCCGCAGAGTCTGCGGCGAATCATCTCTTTGCAATTGACTGCAGGTGCCAAATACAAGATCTTGATCATTCAGAAGTTCAACGGCTGCTTCCGGGGAAAGTACCGTGAACAAAGACTGTTTCTCTGTCTCTTTGGCCTTTCTTCGTCTACCTTTTGTCGTTCTGATGTCCGGAAGGCAATCGATCACCGGCTCATCCTCTTCTACATCATTTGTTGAATATTGCGCAGTCATGCGCGCAGTCAACGTGGTGAACTTCTTAGGTTTGCCCTTGGTTGTCTTTTTGGGCTTTTCCAAGTTCTCTCTTTGAGCAGACGCCTGATCAGTTGAATCAGAGTACCTTCCATCGAGTGATAATTGGATTTCAGGATTGACCAACTCTATCCGCCGACGTTTCGTTGGTCCTCTGCCATTGTCGTTCTGCAAAAGGTCGCGGGGGTTCAAAGCTAACCCAGAGTAATTATAATCGGATACCAACTTGCCAAATACACCTGTAAGGTTCGTACCATGATCCTTATCTGGGATTTCACCATCGTTCACGGTGACAGTTTCCTCGTAAGCGGTCTCCCTTGGTGGTGTCCAGTCCATCCTTCTTCTCATTGCCTCGTCTAGATGTAACACCTCATTCTTTCCTAAACCATTTGATTCCTTGGGAGTAGATTTGTCGGGTACATCTTCCGAAGGAGATGACTTTGTGGCAACCGTCTTCTTCCCACCTTTGCTCGATTTCTTTGCTGGTTGATCGCCGCTTGTCTTTGTAACTTTCCCAGCCAGAGTCATGTTTCCCGCATCTTTACTCTTGGCATTCTTTCGAGGACGACTTTTTGTTGGTTTCATTGTGTCATTCTTTGTGCCAACAGTCTCTGGCTCGGGGTCCCCAAGCGCAATTGTTCCTGGTGCATCCGCGGTTTTCTGCGCCTTCCGCCGCGGTTTGTTCACCGCGGTTTTATTGCTGGTGTCTGAAGTAGGATCCTTCTTTGAAAATCGCTTTTTCGGCTTCGTGACGTCCTTACAACAAGTATTGTTCGCGATTGGAGTGGGAAAAAACCGGGAACGCGTATGAGGTTGGAACAAATCGGATGTCGAGCGTATTGGTGGTGGCGTTGTACCTCGTGGCAAGACACAAGGTGCCGGCGTTGCATCATGCCTACCTGGCCTTGGTGACCGTGGTGGATTTGGAGAGGACGACAGAATGATCACGTCTGCAATACTGGCCATCGTGGCAAGTCGCGTCTCTGGTGTTTGCTTGATTGATCAGGGCGAGTCGCGTGCACTGCTTGGGTTTGCTATATCAGGACATATCTTAGGCAACATTTATACCTAGGGAAACAGTATAAAGTGTCTGCGAGTTGGGTATGCAGGAGAAGTAGCGTTCGGAGATCCGAGTTCAATATTTCGATCCACAAGGGTCGATCGCCCGCGGTCTTGGCAAAGCTCTATGTACATGCTCAGTAGTTTGGCCCGGCAACCAACTGCATTCACCCCAGCAGAGTAAATCCAGTTTAGACATATTTACGCTGAATGCTTATAGGTTCAATTAATTCTTGATTTGAAGACGCCTTTTTACTGTCCTGTATCACATGAAACAAACGACCAGTGTCGAACTGCCTTGCATCTCGGGAATATATCATTCAATTCATCATTATCTTGACTTCGTGCAAATCCGGAGTGTTCTCAGCTCAATCCTGGGGCTGAATAATAGTAGACCTCTAAAAACCCCATAGGATCTGCTTGTGATTGACGACAGGCATATTCTCAAGTCGGAGCCAATTTGGAGCTCAATGTATCCCACCCCGAAGAAAAACAGCACGACTTGGAGAATGTATGCATTTCCCACTCGTCCCACGGCAGGTTTCAGGAATTTCGAGCACAGTGAATTTGGTTCTTTGGTATGGGCAATTGCTCACGATCCCCTCAGGGCGATTGAACTCAACAAGGAATTTTCAAGTCGTTGCTTAGCCTCATCGTTTTTCTTGGCCGTTGGCGAAGGCAGAGCCCCTAGCTTGTATGCTTTCTTGATCTTGTTGATATCAGACATCTCGGAGAGTGTCTGGTCATCGAAAAGCACAGGTGTTCCTTGAACCGAGCTGTCCAAGTGGGCCGCAACGGATTCGTGTGTTATCTCCGGAGAGACAGAGACCTTGACCACCAACATATCTTTGGTTGAATCGGTGATACCAAATCTACGGAATGATTCGGAGATCTAAGCCCGTGTTAGCTCCGGCTTTAGTGGCAAAATCGTCGCTAACTCCTAAAATTGGCAACCCACATTATTCGTAGGGTTCAATGAGAATACGATCTCAGAATGCACATTGTGAGATTTCAGTCGATTGTGCATGTAATCATTAACTGCTCTGAATACTGCAGCAATGACTTGAGCCCTTGACAGAACCTATTGTTAATGTCAGTTGCCTAGTTCCCTTTCATGGTCCTTGGTGACAACTCAACATACCATGCTTGCATCGATAAATGCATACTCGAATTCTGCCTGACCGTCGAGAAGTTGACCTTTCAGAAAGGCGGCATTTTGAACATCGCGATAGAGAGCAACATGCACGGGCATCAATGGTAGATGTGCCACGCTGATCGTCTCTAGACTTGAGGCCATGACTAAAATCGAACTGAAACCGAAATTAGAAAGTTGATGACGTATGTGTAATCAAGCTGATCTGATTAAACAATCAAGTGAGCCCTGGAGTTCACTGTCTATCCCACTTCTTGATCCACGTGACTAATTCTGGAATTTTCCGGACTTAAGCGGTCGCCGACGGAACATGAGTAATCGCCTCCATATCATCCGCGGGCCCGACATTTAGAGACCTCTTCAATCCTAGCTCTTGACACTCCCCATTGCGAAAATGGCTTTCTTCCTACGGCGCCCGTTCGCTGTATCCTCGGCACTTCGCCAGGTCCCTAAGCTCACAAACACCGCCCGATTCATTCACAATTCTCCCATCAAGCCAACCCAAGCAGCAAAGCCTCAGGGCGTTTCCTCGATCTTCGCCCAGTCTCGCCAGAACTTCCAAAATGCCTTCCGTCGTACATACATGCAGCAGAGTGTCAACCCTGCTCAGGATGGTAACTTGACCCAGAAACTGGTATATGGCGCTGCCATTATTGGTGGTACAATTTTGGCAACCAACTTCATCTTCAACCGTGAAACGAGAGAGGATGGCGGTATGCCCGCTTACGAGCGGAGCTTCCTGAATGAGACTTTTGTGCACACTGGTCTTGGTATCGGTATAATTGGTGTTGCTGCTCGCGCCCTCCACATGAGTGGCTGGTCTTATCGTCTTATGGCTATGAACCCGTGGCTCGTCATGGGCGTGGGTCTCGTTGGCAGCATCGGATCCATGTACGGCACTTTCTACACTTCCCCGGATAAGTAAGTTTTTCACCTTCTCTTCTTTGTTTTCAGGAGAATAATAGCTAACTTTTCAATTAAGCTACGTTCTGAAGTATGGCTGCTGGACTCTCTTCAACGTTACCCAGGCCGCTCTTCTCTCCCCCTTGATGTTCATGAATCCTGCCATTCTCGCTCGCGCTGGTCTTTACACTGTTGGCATGATGGGCTCAATCGCTTTTGTCGGTGCCACTGCCAAGCAGGAGAAGTACCTTTATCTGGGTGGTCCCCTTCTTGCTGGTGTGGCCATCGTTGCTCTCTCTGGTCTCGCCCCCATGGTCCTCCCTGCTACTGCCGCTCGCACTCTGATGTGGTCTGAGCGCGTTTGGCTGTACGGTGGTCTTGCTGTCTTCGGTGGTTTCACTCTTTACGACGTGCAGAAGATTCTGCACCATGCTCGTCTTGCCGAGCGCGGCTTGATTAAGCGTGATGTGGTCAATGAGTCAGTCAGCCTCGAGTTGGACTTCATCAACATCTTTATCCGCATGGTCCAGATCCTCGGCATGGGCAACAACCACCGTCGTTAAGCTCCTTCATATCCACTATATTAAGTGTGCAACCTGATATCGGGTTTGTAACATCAGAATCGTTGTTTCGCCTTCTTTTTTCTCGTTCATTTTACAACCGTGTATTTGATGAACCAACTGTTCATATTTTTTTTTTAATTTTTTTTTTGGTCTTAAACTTTGATGCTTCTTCAGATGGGCAAGACCAGTCAATCACTGTTTTTACTTACCGAGAAACATAGCAGATAGGGTATGTAGTGAATATAATCTCCACTCCCTTGACATTTCTGCTGCATCCGGAAGCATAGTGATAACCATTGGAGTCTGAAAAACTCCGACTTGGAAGTCGACAAAAGAAATATAACACATAACTAGTAATCACTACTGGATAGTTCCAAGGTTGACATAGATATGGCTAATGCTACAATATAGTTGAATACGGTAGATTTTTGGTAGTGATTTAACATGACTGCCTTCGCAACAAGAATATACTGGTTACCTAGCATCTCGTTCTTTGCTTAAGGTCCAGATATCATCTAGATACATGCACATATTGCACAATGCAATGGACTCGAACTTATCAGAGGGGCAGATTGTGGTCATGTGATTGCAAGCTTCTCTTGACGGAGGTTGCCCAATAAGACCGCCCTCCGCCCTCTGCAGACTTCAGATCGCGATACAGACTCATTGACCACTACAAACGTGCAGATTAAACCTCCCAACATAATATCAACACAGTCGCACTAGCCTTATTGCTTCCCTACCTCACAATATGTCGAACGAGATGGAAATTGACACTCCTGTCGCAAACGACGACGCTCCCGAGCAATCGGACCGCAGTTTTGAACCACGCACCCAGGGGAACGCGGTCGCCGTGCGCAGTATCGAAGGATGGATTATCATTGTGTCTAATATCCACGAAGAATCGTCGGAGGAGGATGTTACCGAACTCTTTGCAGAGTATGGTGAAATCAAGAACTTCAGCTTGAACCTTGATCGGCGAACGGGTTATGTCAAGGTGCGCATTCTGAATTTCACAACTACCTCTGAAACGACCCCCAACAACGTTCCTTCTGAAACAAGGGGACCCTTCTTGACTCGCGTCCAATGAAAGGATCACTAACACCACTATTTTGGTAGGGCTACGCATTGATCGAATACTCCACGCTCCCCGAAGCCAGTGAAGCTATCCAGAACCTTAACGGTTACAAGCTCCTCGAACAGACGCTTCGTGTCGACTATGCTTTTGTCCGCCCGCCCCCATCAGGCAAGAACAAGAATGGAGGGCCAAAGGGCCGTGCTATTCGGAATCGCAGCAGAAGCCCCAACCGGAGTCGCAGCCCCGAAGCTGGCGGCGACCGGGAATAAGCCTTCCTGATGGATGGGAACGATAAAAATTGACCTGCATACATTGCTTGTGATCTTCTATTGATACCTGGGCTTTGTTTTTTCTCGCATTTTTCTCTATACCTCGCGCTGTTTCGTTCGAACCTTTGCCCACCCTTCCTACCAGAATTGTCTACAAATGATGGACATATCATCTAGTATTCGCCGGCATGGCCACTCCTCAGTCGAACCTGTATGGGTCCGCAGGTCGAGTGTGGGTGTGCATGGGACACATACACACAATTGGTACGTGCCGGCGCCACGATAGATTGCCATAATGGTATGGAAACCCGTCCTTAACCTTTAACTTCAATCATGCTGACTTCTACTCAGAAATGAAAGGCCGTTTGATGAAAATTGAAAATTGATGTATGAGCATCTGGTCAACAAAGACAACCTTGGACCTCGAAGACCTGCCTCTGGGAGTAATGTACATTATGAAGAATGGTTCTTCTTAATTATAAGCGACCTTCATCATACGCACTTGTCTTGTGACCTATTTGAAGACAAAATCAAAAATGTTAGTAGAGTATTAGTATACGATGTATTAGCAGGATCCCTTATGGGGTGGAATGCATCATGCGATAGCCATGTGGCGCAAGAGTAGAATCGATAAATTATTTTGGATTCTCGAGTGAGTTAGTACATATCGTAGAGTCAGATGGTTTGAATGCTTTTAAGGCTTTGATGCCATACAATGGATGTGGATGTTCACCTGCCCCGGTGCCCGGGTGGGCAGCGGGTCTTGTGACTAAGCCTAACCCTTCCCGGCTTCCCCGCATGGCGCATGAGGTTATCTCTGTCCCTCTTTTTTAGTCGATCTCATTGTGCCCTCTCTACTCCCTATTCTTATAGACGGACTCCAGCATCCTGTGTCTGGGAGTCCTACTCTGACAGGATATATTTCCTAGGGCAGAATGGCTCCCCAATACATATCTTTTACCCCCTTGGGGCTATCACGACCTCTATACTGTATTCTTATGCTATGCTTCCTATCGTTTTCAGCTGCGGCCAATGCGCTGGCGTATCCATCTCAGGAACTTTTGGGAGTGCCTTCAGTTTCCAGTCCCGTTGATGATTTCCCAAAAGTCTTTAGGGATACTGAATCGGCGCGGGAAGCGTCGGTTCGCGACCCCATTCTGAATACCTTACAGGATCTTATCGCCGCCCTGCAGGTGATGCAAGACAAGTATTTTGTGCTCTGGCAGGGCACGTGGCCCACCAGTATCGATTGGACCGCGGCGGTACTGGGTGCACACGTTTCGGCAGCGCTCTCGACTCTAACCTCAGGCCCGCTCGATATCCCCGACACGGATGAATTGCAAGGATTATCCTTCTTCAGGCTCGAGCACACGGTCAACCGATTCTTCAGCCATACTGCCGCGTTCTACTTTGGCGAGAACTCTTTCAGTCTTAGAAACCAGGCCTACGATGACATGCTATGGGTCGTGCTAGGGTGGTTGGAAAATATCAAGTTGCAAAATCTTCACTCGGACCTTCACTATGTCTCCTCCAACGACAGTTCTGGAGAACTGTGGTACGGTACTCAGTTCCAGAACTCTGCTGCACACAGAGCACGCGTCTTTTACGAGCTCGCCTCTGCTGGTTGGGACAAGACCCTCTGCGAGGGCGGCATGATCTGGAGCCCATATTTGACGCCATACAAGAATGCGATTACAAACGAGCTCTATATAGCCGCAAGCATCGAGATGTATTTGTACTTCCCCGGTGATTCCATTGACGCCCCTTTCCTTGTCGACTCGGGCACGCAGCGCGCACGGAAGAACCCATACAACTCTCTTCATCTGCAGGCTGCGGTTGACGGATATGAGTGGCTCAAGAAGTCAAATATGACTGGGATCGGCGGCCTCTATGGAGATGGTTTCCACATCCGTGGCTGGCAAAGCGCATCAAATCCCGGCTCGGGACAATGCGATGAGCTTAACTCTATGGTCTACACCTACAATCAAGGAGTCATTCTCAGCGGGCTGAGAGGACTTTGGCTAGCCACAAACTCGCAAGTTTATCTGCGTGACGGTCACGAGCTTGTTCGCAAAGTACTGCAGGCTACCGGGTGGCCACATACCTCTAGCCAGCAGTGGAAGGGGCTTGGTCGCGGAGGTGTGCTCGAGGACGCATGTGATTCTCATGGAACCTGCTCCCAGGATGGACAGACCTTCAAAGGCATATTTTTCCACTACCTTGCAGGATTCTGTCGACCTCTTCAGCCGCAAGAGAAGCAGTTCCTGGCGGACAGGACCCGCAGAAATGCAGCAGATGACGACTGGGCCGAAGTCTATGAGCAGCATATAAAGCAGTGCCGCACCTATGGTTCTTGGATTAAACACAATGCGCAAGCTGCTCTGGTGACTCGTGACAAAGCCGGCAAGTTTGGTACCTGGTGGGGCCGCTCGTATCATCAGCTGGATGCCAACGAGATCGTGGATAGCAGCACTATCCCGAATGGTGCTGTAGATTACCGCAATGCCGATCATGAATCAACTACAGGCTTCACACCGAAGGACTACAACGATCGTGGCCGAGGCCGCACAGTGGAAACACAGTCCGGCGGCGTCGCTGTGTTGAGAGCCCTGTACCAGTGGCAATCCTATGACGTCCTATGAACAAAACAAATGAACGGTTTGGGTTTGGGGTTGGTGTTTTGGCGGTAAATAGGCACCATTCATTGCATCCAGGGCTTTGAAGCTCTTTTTTTGTACATCCTGCACAGCTACAGTTACTGGGGATCATTATCATATCGTCCAGGTTCGACATTGGCTTCTCAGTAGTTACGATTTTTTCAAACTGGAACTGCTTTCGCATCTTGACAACTTCCCCTGACCCTTGGACCTGCCGATCAAAGCAGTAGTACTACAACGCTAGTCTTTTAATCCGATCCTCTATGGATCTCGCATCGTGCACTTATCAATTTAGCAACACAACGATTGGTGGCAATGGATCCCCAGCTTCCCCATTCCGATGATCCTCTCTGCAGAGCACGGCACATAAAACAGGAATTCAAAAACCAAAACCGGATTACATAGTTGATCGTCGGATCTGCAACAAGTGGACACTGGTGTGAGGGATTACCTATGTTGGGTTTTGCGAGAGACATAGGACATTTTGCGGCCGACTTACAATATAAGACATGTTTCTGGCGATAGCTACACAACGTTGAGGACTCCAGTTTGGGTCTGCTTATGCGATACATGTTGAGCAACTGACAATAATATCTCTGTGTTCCCGGAGTGAAACCTATGCAATGAATGAGAGATCTTTCATGTTGTCTTGCCGCGGATATGATGTTCGATATTGACCCCCAGAGACGATGTGAGACACAGTTCGGCACATTTCTAGGTAAGTTGATTTCCTCGGCTATTATATGGAGATCAAACTCTATTATACTATCTACTTCGGGCCGTTGGAGAGAGAACAGGTGGATGACATTGGATGACATGTTGGATGTTGAATGCATAGAATGACCGGAGGGGGCCTCTACACTGTAGATAAGGTGTATTCCTTCGGATTGTCATCCTTCAGACCAAGCCTTATGAACAGAAGTATGAAAGCGACATACCTTGTCACCACTAAAATGCCAAAACCTTGAATTCTCGTCGCGATGATTGGGCCTTCAATAATACCCAGCATCGAAGAAAGGCGGGAAGGTGGCCACTTAGAACACAGAGAGGGGCAAAAAGAAGCAAAAAGAAGGGAAGAAAAACCCAAACATCCACTCTAGCGTGCGGACTAAACATCCTTGACGCCCCCTCCGTAATGAGGGACAAAAAAACGCGTCCGTATAGGGTGGGGGTTTCGGGAGTCCGTAGGGCACGAATCAACGCGACGAAACATACCTGCAGATCGGCGGGTACTTTGTTTGACCATTATTCGGAGTAGCTCTCTTTGGGACGCCAAAAATAAATAAAAAAGCAATTTCAGGGTTCGCATGATATTACGCGGATGTCTCATGAACAACGGGTGGAATGGTAATAGCTGTAGAAATGTGGTCTGATATCGATTTTGTCTCAGTTTGCCCCGATGGCCACGTTTTTCTTTCTTGCTTAGCGGGAACCATAGTTCAATTAATCTACTGTAGAAATGATATACCCTAAATACTTTATGTTGCAAACCTTGGAATTACCCTAATACCAATCTTAAACATGGTTCTTATCGACTTGTTAGATTACGGCCCAAAGCATGTCACACGCACCCCCCCACCTCATGGGGTTCGGCGAAGAGGGTGTACAAGTACGGAGTACGGAGCACTCCGTACACCTTTGGCAGTTACACCTGTGCTCATGGGGAAGGTACTAGATACGGTAGGTCTGAGCGTATAGTTCAGCGCTGTTCCTCTGAGGTCATCTGACAACGGGACCTAGGAACGCATTTTGGTTTGACAGAGGGGGTGAGTTGGCTGTCATAACCGCATAAGCAAGCCCAGCGGGGCAAGAATAGATTAGTTATGTAGGATGTAGGATGTAGAATGTATACTCGAATATTGATATATTATATTTCTTTGGATCAATCGCATTCTGAGTTTATAGTCTGACGGCTCTAACTCGGCAGGCACGATGAAACCCGATGTTGACAAAGGCGGAAAGACTAGTACATATCCCCGGACCTTGAAGGTGGCACCGGCAATTTGGATGAGGGTCTACCATATCTTGCCGAAACCGGGGAGCATAGCAGAGAGAGTCATTGAAAACGATTTGCTGAGATCGGCATCTATGATGGCACTCGGTTTCACCTCCTTTTTGGCTCGGTGTCGAATAATAAGGAAGCATGTCAAATCCAGTGTCGAAGGTCATAATGAATGATCGTCTGGATTCCAAGCGTTGGGCGCACATTGGTTGCGATGGAGTGGGTTAAGGACGGGAGGTGGTGACTGGTCGCGGGATATTACGACAGGCCCTGCGGAGCAAGAAAATGCAGTTGTGCCACTGAACTTTCCTGGCTAAGTTAGTCAGTTAATCTTCCGCATTATTCTCCAGTGCTGTGGTCAGTTTTTCTCTCTCGGGTTTTTTTTTTTTGTGGCGGTGGAGGCGGCTAACGAGGGGCGAACGGGGATTTATCGTCGGATATGTTTTTTGTGCCTTCCATTACAGTGCAACATACGTTCTATATTGGCAGATGGACAATATGAACCAAAGAAGGACCTTCGGGATCTGTACGGGGGGTTACTGGCACTCTCCTTTGTCCCTCGGCCGATCTTGGCCAAGGGCGGGTATCTACCCCTTGGAATCTTCGTCACCGTATGTTGTACGTTGTAGAATCATGACCAGTATACAACATATCCAACCTCCAACCTCGCCGAGGTAGGTAGTAGAATTGGTGTACTTTGGTATCACCACGATGTATACGGAGTAAGTATCCGCGATCAGAAATACGTTCCTAAGGGGCCAATGATATCCATGGCGTCATTTGGCTCTGAGGCTCGATCGACATTGCATGCCCCCCCCCCCTCTGAAGGACAGGGGTATGGCCACATGTGCAATACTGCATAATACGTGATTAATACGCGATTCATACCGATATAAGATCGGTTTTCTTTTCTTTTTTTCTTTTCTGCTTTATTATTCCCCATACCCGTAGACGGCATATCCGGGTGAGAATAATGCAGGAAGACCCAAGTTCCCGGAGAGTGACTATAAAATATAAAAGAATGCAGACTCCGTGGATCGATATACAATATACACAGTTAATCTTTTTTTTTTTCCACAATACGTGTCAAATCAATGCTACAGTGGAGAGGAAAGCGTGTGCCCTATGATGTACCGAGTACCTGATCGGACCATGCCTCGAATAGGGAACGGCGGTGTACCGGGTACTTGTCGGGAAGGTGGTGTGTGGAAAGGGGAATCTGAGGAGCCACCCGTTAGTTCCTGAACGCCTCTCGTTTCTAGAAATCCCCTCTTTTTTTCCTTTTTCTGAATCTTCACCGGTTGATTTTGATTTTATTGGGTTTATTTGATTGATCGAGGGGGGCATTTCGATGTCTATGGGCTGGCTGGGTTATTTTAATATTGTGCCACGCGATGTCGACGGGAATTGCCCTTATAGTATGGGTATTAATTCATCTATAAAAAAAAAAAGGAAAAATACCGACATCTAGAAGAAAATAAGAAACCAGAGGGAGCATCCAAGGGACATGGGTTCCTGTTAAGATAGGCAATTATACCGGAAGACTCCATAGGTACCCCTTGGTACCGCACCCGTCGTACCACAACGTAGGTCACTCTGAGGTACCCCTCCGCTGTAACGCCGATACCGAAACTCTCTTCCTTTTCCCCCAAAGCTCTTTTCGGTTCTCTGACTCCTCTCTCTCTTTCTTCAAACTATCTTCTGTCTCTTCTCTTGGAAAGTCCTCCTCTTGCCATATCTATAGCCCCGATCCCTCCCTTGTGGCCAACCTCTCTTCCCGGAACGAGCGTGGAAAAAAAATATTCCCTGGACCTTCCCTTTGAAACTTACACCACTCCGGTTTACCTTTCTCTCCCCTCTTTCCCAATCTCGAATTGGATTCAGCACACACGCATTTCGGAATTACTCGTCTAGTCAAAAGTCGGCCACGGTCGTCTTGCGAATTGCACACTCCTCCATCTCCTTTCGACTTCCCACCGACCCGGTAGCTACCTCAAGCGTAACACAGATTTCTTGTCTGGGGTACATCGCTAGGGGTAGACCGTGGTCGTTCATCAGCCGTTACTTTCCCTCCGGTCTTTTTTTTTCAGTGTGCATCCCCAATCGTGGGAGCCTGATCAGACCGCCATCCTGGACCTCATTTCGATATTGTGTGTCGCGAAGCAGTAACCTTTATGGCATCAGATACCGAAATGACAGAAGCCTTTCCCGTTGATACTCTGCCGCACCCCAACGACGGTGGCCACATGCACATGTCGTCAATGTCATCATCGTCTTCGATATCCGACGCAGAACACGAGCGCCGAGGCCGATCAGAACGTCCGCGAATGGCGAGCCGCAAACCCAGTGCTTCAATCCTTGTCCCGAGAGACCACCCCGAAATTGAAATCGAGGAGGAAGAGTTTCCTCCCGACGATGCCCGCGCAATGAGTCCACGACGCAATTCTGCCGACCTAGAGCGTTTAGGCAAGGAGGCCCGACAGACCCTACAAGAGTGAGTTGAAAAAACACATCCAAGGCGTTTTTGCTACTGAATTACATCAGATCCAAGATTCCGGCAGCTAACCAGATGAACTCGGAAAAATACAGACAGGCCAAGGCTCTCCAATCGTCCCTTCAAGCTCTCGCCGAACGCATCGACGCGGTCAAATCGGACCATGACAAGTTGGAAAACGAGAACAAAATCTTACAAGACTACATTGGGGGTCTCACTCGCAACATGACCAAGAGCGAAATGACCCGCAGTACGAAAGCACGCAAAGCACAAAAATAAACCGGCTTTCCGAGATGGCGCAAGGTAGCCCGGATACAACATCCCGTGGACGTCAATCGGGAGGAATCGCCTGTGACTCTGCAGCAGGGGGTTCCATGCATTACAAACGGTCGCGGGTTTTACCGGGATTCGAATTATTTTCACTTCATTACGACGAAATCCATGGTCAACGGATTTCTCTTCTCACCGCACATCCAACTGGTCGCTTAA